TATATATATATATATATATATATATATATATATATATATATATATATGACGAAAGAAATAAGAATAAGAAGAAATAAAAGGAAGAAGGGAGGTGGCATTCGAATGAGCCTTACTCCCAATACTTTAGCAGAAACCCAGTATTTGAAATACTGAGAGTTGGATTCGTTTGAATGCAACTTTCATTAAAGCGTGCCTTACTCTTAATAATTTTTTAGAAACTCAAAATCGTAGATATAGGGAGTTAGGTTCGTTTGAACATAAAATTCGTTAGAACGTGACAGTTAATTTTTAATTTCCATTGGAGTTTTCTCTCCAACGGCTACATTGTTTCAAACCTTTCAAGAGGTGTCTTCTACCATTGTAATGAAGGGATATATTCCTTCATGAAGTGATGCATAGAACACTATATATATAGACTTCAACTAATATTAAAAGAGAATGAAAATTAAGAGACAGAGAACTTCATACTTTCTGATTTTCTATATTCGAGTTGAGTTTTGATTCTAAGATAAATAAGAAGTGCAATCTTAGATAATCATAAAGTTAGGCATTGTATCCTAGGGATAGAATTTTCAACAGTCCATCTACATTATAAGTGAGGAAATAACTATCTCGAAGATAGCGTCAGACGTGTCTTGCCTAACAATCAATCTTCTTTGTTCATTTATTGGTTTTCTACTTCTGAAATTGTACACAACAAGATTATTCTACAACAGAAAATGCTTGCATAGCACACATATATCATCATACCGTACATAGTCGAGCATTTTCAAAATCTAAATACAACTCATAGCATAATTAGCTTGGAATGCATCATATTATACCAAGCTACACAATGCTATAACTAGTGAAACAATCCTTGGCATGAGAACTCACGTTTAGCAGTTTTTAATTGGAGAGAAACTTACTTTTAAACTTCTACGACTAGGTAGATTGTACTTACAGAGAAACTAATTGTTACAAGCCTAATAGTTCTTGTGCTTCCCTGAGATAAAAACACTTAAATATAAGGTTGGAAATCAAAATAAGCTTGTTTATTAGGGAATTTGTAACCTTCATTGAAACAAGTCAATAAGTTTTGGCAACAATGAATATAACATTCATTGAATAATTTTCCTAGAGTAAAAATTTATTGATGCCCGGTCACAAATTTCTAGCTTCATCCAAAGATAAAATCATCCAAAGAACCTCTAGCCTAAGCTACCAACTAGAAGATAAGGTGGTTCAAGGAGGAGAAGATTATTTAACCCCAATCCCCATTACACCCTTAATTATTTCAACTAAAGATAAACTTGAAACTGCTAAAACAAGACAAACTCTTATTCAAATCATGCCATCGACACTTTGGCACATAAGACTTACTTTTTAAAGTTCATCATGTTCACGATCAACATCAGGTTTAGTGTGATCATGAACGTCAAGAACATGGTTTTGGCGAGGCAACATGCTACGTAAAGAGAGCCAATTAGGAAGGATGTTCTACACACCATCAATGATGTAGTCATATGTGGTGTCGGGAGCAAAGTTGATTAGTGCATAGGAATCTCCTTTAAATAGGTAAGCCTCATCAATCCTGTGTGAAGCAAATGTTGCTTCAATTCGACTTTCAAAGATGGTTTTTTTCAAACTAGCAAAGCCTTGAGTGATGAGACAGACGGAGAAGAGGTGGGAATTAGAATCGTAGTTTATAAGAGAATACTGGTTGTATTTGAAGAGGTAAATTTCATATTTTGTCATTGCCTCAAATGCGGCACCTACACATCCCTTTGAAAAGGGGAACATTATAGTGATTGTCATCGGGCCTTTGATTATCTTGTCATTTGAGGTGGCTGGTGCTTAGTTAATATGTGCACAAAGGTTCCCAGAGAAGATTAATGCTTTGTCCACATGATGAGACCCAAAAACAAAATATATTCCATTTTTACAAAGGTTGTGCCTGTGATGGATGGATACCCATTGCAGATAAGAAGCGGTCCATTCACCACCTTGTCATTTGTTGTGCCTAGAGCATAGTTCAGTAGCACATACTCGTTCTTCATGAATAGATAGGCTTCGATTGTATGAAACAAATGAAGTGTAGCATCTATGTAGCTCTCAGAGTTAGCCACTTTGCTAGCATACCAATTGATGGTATCTGAGTTAGTAAACACATGTCGTTTCTCTCGCTCGAAGATGGCACGAAATCGGTAAATGCCAGTGGTTAGAGATGTCCTCCTACCATTTGCATCCGAGTAATAAAATATTGGCCTCCAAATGTTAAGCAACCTTGATGGATGCTATTGTGGATTGTAGTTCCCTTTTACTCTTATTACATTATCCACTCTCTCTGGTCTTATATACCTGAATGCATTCCACAACTATTGTAACTAAGCCTATCAAAATTCGGCACGACACGATTAATCAACATGAATTCATATGATTTTTAACGGATTTAGGTAAGTTTTAACAAGTTCGGGAGATAAATGGGTTGACTTGTCAAAATCTGTTTATTTAAACAAGTCGTGTTCGGATTGAGATGTCAACTTGTTTATCTGTTTAAATAAAATTAATATAATGGTTATTATTATTATTAAAAAAAATAGCCAAAAAATATATAAGTCAAAATAACAAAAACATTTCATACTTCCTAACCCTGACTCTATCTCTTCTTTGGTCTGTCCTCTGTCGCTTCCAACCTCCATGACTCGAGCCAACTGAAGGAAGCTGAAGGATTGGCACTTAACTTTGGCTTATCTTCTTCTTTTTCTTCTTCTTCGTCTTATGTTTCTTCTCTCCCTCTCTTTCTCTCTCATTTTGTTGTCGCTCGTCAATCATCACTCGCTGCTCGTTACTTTTTGATCGCTGCTTACCTCTCGCCTGGCTTTTTTTCTCTTTTTTCCACCTGTCTCTCGCTATTCGTCACTTCTTCTATCACTACCTGGATTCTTCTCTCCCACTCTTTTGGTGTGACAGAGGAAGCTCTCAGATTAAACGGTTATAATGGGTCGAGTTTTAAAAGGGTTATCGTGTTAACTTAACCCTACTCAATTCGATTCATTTAATTAAACGAATTAAGCGAGTAGTATTATATTTACTCATTTATTAAACAGTTCGTATAGAAATTTTTCACCGTTTATTTAAACGAGTCGTGCACAGGTTTACTAGTTTTTCACCTATTATCCGTTTAACCCGACTCGTAAACGTTTATCAATACGGTTGATACCCCAAATTGTGACATAAGCCCTCAATTTTTACTTTACAATATATAAATCTGTTATCTCACTAGGATATTAAATTCATCTAAATAAAATAATTGATAGTAAATTAAAGTGGATACGAAGAAATTTTGAAGTTCTAATGTGTAGGGTAACCTCGTGCCAGCAATAAACCTGAAGCGCTGGGTAGACTGAATGTATTCAGGGGCAATGTCAGCAACAAAGAAGACCTCATCCTGGGCAGGGTACTAGTAATGATCACCAAGATTCTCAGCAACCCAACTGCCACCGGGAGCATATATCTCGTTTCGATATGCTTCCATCTCAGTCTCAATGTTGAGGCTAAAATGTCAAGCACTGTTAAGCGTGGTACTAATGAAGATGTTGGTGGGCTGGTTGAAATCAAGAGGCATATCCCTAGGGTGTCAAACGTGTCGGGTTCAGTCTTTTCGTGTCAAATTAATTTTGAGTTTGTGTCAAAATTTTCAAAACTCGAACTTGACATGTTTAGTAATTGTGTCGATATGTGTAAACACTAACCTAATTTGTCCATTAAACAATTGAACCCAACCTGTTTGACTCGTTTAATAAACAGGTCATTTTCGAGTTAATACACATAATATGATATGTTTAACCTGTTTAATACACATAACACAGTTATATTTAACACACATAACAAGTTTTCACACCTATTTATTACCATTAAATACATTATTCAATTATTCATTCAAAATTTCAAATAACTTTTTTACAAATAACATATCATATCTCATCAACAAAATTAACTAAAATGTATTCAAGCTTCAACCCAAAAATTAAAGCAAGAACTATACTAGTATACTGTCATAAGAATTAATAATGTTAAGAACTATACTATCAATTACCATAGTATGAGTAAGAACTAATAAATAATAATATTAAGACCATTCATTCATACATAATAAGTAAATTATACTGTCATAAACGAGTTAAACGTGTCTACAATGAGTTATGTTAGTTCGTGTCTGAATCATGTCAACTCATTTAAAATATATGGGTTAATCAAGTCAAAATCGAGTTGACTTAATTTTGAAATGAACCAGACATGATTGTTTTCGTAATTAAGCGTGTTGATCCGTTTTAATTTGTTGATTCGTTTAATTTTGTGTCTAACCCATTAATTTAGTGTTTAATTTGTGTCGTATCAACGTATCATTTCGAAAATTAATAGCCTTGCCTACCGCCACGATGGACGTAGTGATATGCTTGGAATCCATTCTGAAAAACCTCGTGATATGGAAAGATCACAGCGAAAAGACATAGCTGAGGATGTCTTTTTCTCCACTGTTGCTTCTGTACACGATGTCGGGCGGAGAGGTGCTGCAATATGGCAATTAAAGTAGTAAACATTTTCCACCAAAAAATGAGCTACACACTCTTTTTCTTCAATAACAGGTTGAGAGAAGTTTGTTGCACATCATCTCCATAGTGAATTTGGCCGGATCGACATTTTTTTTTTTCTCACATGTAAAATTAATTTAAAATGATTTGAATCATTGCCAAAATTTCCTTTCAATCAAAAGAATGAATGAAAATGCGCTCAAACTCATACAAGGTCAGTTTACGACACAAATAGGTAGATACTTGCATATTTTTTTATTGGAATTAATCATTCATATTACTAGGACAACACGAAAGAAAAACAAAAATAATTGCAAATCCATTCAAAGATTTTTAAAAATTACTAGTGTGCGTGGTGATTTTCGCACAATAGATCCCTTGGTGAACTTGTGTTCGTTGATGAGGTGGATTCCAGAGCAAGGAATGAGTTGAGAAGGCCAAAGGGGGTCTAAGGAGTAGTGATGAATTGCTCTTGGGACTATTTGATTGATCTTGGGGGTGGTAGATCATTCCTAGCACACAGAGAAGACGTTAGAAGGGCGCCGGAGTATTTTTCGGCGTATTCCCTCTGACGATCAAGTCAGTTCTTTGAGAGAAGGAAAGAAGAAAGCACTGTATTGCTCTTGAGGGATGAATTTGCATACCTCTGTAATGTGTTTTTGAAGACTACTTATTCCTTCAAAGACCCATCATTACTGATGGTCTAGACAGTAGGTAGCGTCTAGATATGGGGCAGTGTGCCTCCCATTTCGCATGGTGAAGCCCCATTATTAATTGCTCGGTGTGTCGAGCACTTAATGCTCTTTCTTCAATGTGAGGACATTAAATGCACATGTCCTGGATCATTTAATGTTTTCACTCCTCGGCTCCCAAAGTCACTATGGATGTCCCATCGTTTGAGGATTCATTAAATGTTTGTTTGAAATAGTTGTATGTCAGCGGGGGTAGTTTTGTCTTTTTATCCCTTATTCTGCACTTTATACCACGTGTTCGACTCTCCTTGGTTAAGTGTTCAGTTCATTCTGCTGTTCTAGCTTCATTGTACAAAAGTGCCTTCATGATTTCATGTCTAGTTTTGACGATCAACTGTCAATCAGTAATCTCTCCAAAAGCCGAGGACTGGTGACAAGATCAGGATTTCAGTTGGTACCTCGGAGCCAAGGACCCTTGACTTCCCGAAGTAGAGGTACCCTAGGAGCTGAGAACATATGCCTTGGTGCCAAGGAACATGTCTATTAGAGCAGGGGTCTCGGTGCCGAGGACACGTGACCTCACCAGAGGCAAGGATGTACCTCGGCGACGAGGACACGTGTCGTTGATTTAACACCCTCTTAGAAGTGTCCCATCAACTAGCATGTTCCCACAAAGCCCTATTGATAATTAAAAACATAAATTAATATCATCATTCCATCACTTCACACATCATTATATCAATAAATTATGTTAGTTTTTAAGCTTTCAACAACATTACTCATATATAATATATTGTAAAGAAAAACAATGCTATGATCTTGCATCACATAATCAACATGATAAAACTTCAACCAGCTTCAACACTGGAGCTTAAAACCAAAATCAACACGAGATAATAACGTAAAACTACATCACCTTAATCAAAATAAAAACCAACAAACTTTGATTAATGATCGATGAGGAAACCCAAGGGACTAGGGGGATATATATATATATATATATATATATATATATATATATATATATATATATAT